CCCGACCGACGAGCCGTCGGGCGAGGAAGGCGCAGTGCGCCCCATTTTTTAAACTTTCCAAAGATCGTCGACTGGCGGCTTAAGACCAGCCGACAAAGACGTTACCGTAGACCATTCAACGGCACCGAAAACCGCCGAACGGCGCCGATCGCGGCCGAATGCGATGGTATAAAAGGGACTCCGAAGCCAGGAAGACCACCAGTTCCTGACCGTACTGCCAGCCGACAATACCGGGGTAAAAAGCGGCTTTGCCTCGGTCCAAGCAATTCTCGGTGACGTCTAGGTTCGCAGACTTCCATTTACGCTCCGCACAGTGGCCCCGAAATACCCAGGAGTAGAGCGCTTCTCTACCCCTGGCTGAGCGTTCCTCGGCGGGGGCCACTCCAAATTCCTCGCACCCGGAGGGGCGATGCCAGGGCGAAGCGCTACTTCGCCTCGATCCGAGCGTTTCTCGGGCGCTTCGCTTCCCCCATTCCCGTCGGCACGATCCTCGGCTTTCCTTCGGTTTCGTCGTATTAACGACGTGCGCGGAGATTTTAACCCACGTACGGCCCGCGCGCCGTGCGCACGCACCGAGCGGGTACACCCATCCACGCCGCGAGAGCGTGACCGCGTCAACGGACCGATCGCTCGCGCCGCGCACCGCCCTGCGCTCCGTACGCTCAACCCGGGTCTCGAACAAACACGCCGTGGGGATACGACCGGAATTATCATCGCACATCCCTATTGTAATTGCGGGCCTTTTTCAAATTATTACTACATCGGGAATCTCTTTGCGGTATCTTAAATTATTATCGCTCCCCTATCGGGCCATGTAACCCGCATAGAGGGGCGACCCGCTGATCACGTTATCTTTTATATCTCGACGGGTAATTATTTTATGTTAATGTTATTTTTTTCTAAATATATTTTATCTTTTTAAACTTATATCTTATTTGTTCGATTTCTTTATCATTCCGCTACTCTCTCTCTCCTGAACCTGCTGGCGATCCCTGCAACCCGTTTCTGTACCGACGAGCTATACCGCGCATCAACAGCAGATCGTTTTAACTTGATATCAGTAAATGGCGTCAAGGTAAATAAAAATTATGTGCGGTCTTATTATTCAATTACTATTACTTGTATAAAAGATTTAATATCAGTAAATGTCAAGTTAAATAAAAATTATCTTATTAAACTTAAGTGATGTGTATATCGTTTGTATAAAATATTTGTTGTCAATAATTGACGTCAAATTATACTCTCATAAAATGATTAATTTACGACCCAAGTGACATGTATGTGTAATACAAAATGAAAAAATCTTAATAAAATAATTTTTA